TCATCCTTCCTCAAAATCATTGGAAATTTAAGGATTAGACAGCACTTCTGTCCAGGGTTGGAGTAATGTAATTCTTGGGGCAGAAGGGCAGAGGCAAAGAAGAGACTGACTCTCTCTAGTTCAGCACATTCTGGTCCAGCAAAATCCATGGTCTGCCATGGTTTTAGTTAGTCAACTGTCCACTTATTGTGGGTGTGGCCAAGTTTCCTGATGTCCCATAAGGTTTGTTTACAGCCACCAGTCCTGGTTCTCAGTGTCCTGTGCTGTTGTTTAGCTTTAAATTACCTCAGTGTCTTCTAAGGGTATGTCTACGCCGCATTCCTCTTTTGAGAGAGGAATGCAAATGCAGACAAATGAAATTCCAAATGAAGCACGGATTTGAATTTCCTGCACTTCATTTGCATAATTGCATCCGGTTGCTTTTTCAAAATACCTTATTTCGAGATAAAACACACTGCTTAGACATGATTATTTTGAGAAAATACCCTTCTTTCAAAACAACCCTTAAACCAGGAGTAAGTTCGGCCAGGATTTCACCTTTTGTGTGAATTCCTAAAGGTTCAGAAACAACTAATAATCCTGTGGCACCTTAGAGACTAATAAATATACAGGATCATGAGTTTTTGTGGGTAAAACCCACATCATCAGGTGAGTAGGAGTGAAAACAACAGAATCCAAGATATATATAACAGCAAAAGCAGTTACGTGTCAATTGTAGGACCCATGTTAATGAAACTAGTTAAGTAGGCTGATGTATCCCACTCATACATTTTTATGTGAAAATATGAATGTTAAAGGTATGGAAAATGTCTTTGTAGTGTGTTAACCAGTTAATATCTTTATTCAAGTCCAAGTTGACAGCAGTTTCTCTCTGTAATTGGGTGATAAAATTGTGTGTAGAAGAATGGCTACTTGAGTCACCTCAGAGAGACACTCCATCGGGGAGCTAATCAGGGATAGCTGAACCCAGTTACAGCAAGACAGGAATTTTACTCACCAGAAGCCACAATAGGGAATATACTGGGGCACCCTGCCAGCCTATTTACTCTTAATTTTGGAGTTTACTTGAAGGAGTACAGAACGAGACCTCTGCTAAGTGTAAAATATCTGGTGAAATATCCCTTCCAGATTTTCCAATTTTTTGGCACTTGAACCTCAGCTTCCTGTGAACTCTCTAACCCTGTTACACATGTCCACTTGAACATGGACTTCATAGGATGTGGAATCTGGATATCTTTTCTGTCCACATCACACTCACCCTGTGTCTCTTTTTAGCAGAGAGTTAGGGGTAATTCTACCATGAGAAGGAACTATCAATGATCTGACCACTAGGAGTAAATGGTAATTAATTTTTTCTATTAAACATGATGCTAGCACTTATCCCATAATGTCAACAAAGGCATTAAAAACATTTAGGGAAATTATAACCAATTACGGCTCAAATTGAGATTCATGGAATGTAAATACACCCAGAGACACAAATTCTGAAAATGATCCAAGGCATTACTGTGTGTTCTACACAAAAATCAATGGGCTTACCTCTTTGGAGAGTCTAGTAAAAAGGTCTCCTCCCCGCAGGAAATCTAGTATTAGATACAACTTTCCTTCTGTTTGAAATGCTGCATAAGAAAAGAATGGAGATGATGGAAACGTTAATCATTGCAAAGTCTGCAGAGAATGAGTATTATTGATTAATTCTACATCCTTTGTTAACTCTCCTACCATAGTAACACTTCAGTTTTTGAATAGAATTATTTAAACTCTGCTGAACTAAGCAATCTAGCCCATACTAAAAGGAACAATCCTGCATTAGCTGGGAGATAGGGATTTATTAGTAACACATTCCTCAGCAACTGGTCCCAGAGCCAGGGCTGCAGTCTGAGCCCAAATGTCTACCCAGCAATTTTAGAGCCCCACGACCTGAGACTTGCGGGTCCGAGCCAGCTGATCCAAGCCAACTGCAGGCCTTTAATTATGGTGTAGATGTAATGTAAGAAGCAAAAACTGCCCTCCATTGCACAGGGTGAGGAAAAGAGAAGAGAATAAAACTAATCCGAGCAAGAAGAGAGCCACAGCTGGTCAAAATTCTCACAGAAGCTCCTAAGCACTGGCAATACGACTCTCCAGGAATTCTGGGAGCTTGATGGGCTATGACAAATCTAGGGAGAAGCTGCTCTGTGTAACTGAGAGCGTTACATTAGTTTACAGACATTTAGGGAGTGTGATCAATTAATAGTAGTTTTTTTGAAACAAGAGACTAATAAAATCAAGCTGTTTGCTGCATAGTGGTGGAAGGACTAGCATATTTGTTAGCCTACCGCCAGCATCCCTTGGTAACACCATCCCTACATTATACCTAGCATCAAATTTATTTTGAGAGAGGAGTAGCTAAGCCTGCCACATGATGAACTTTTCCTCCGATGTGAGGAAAATGAAGTCTCATGCACACCAGAAACTGAGGGGAAATGGACAGTATTTGGGAAGGTGCTATTCTTACCAACGATACAGATCCAATAGCAATTTCCACAACAAACATGAAAATAATGCAAATTCCATTTAATTTTAGTTACCATAATGAAGCTTGACTATGAAAGGATGATTCACTTCTGCCAAAATATCTCTCTCCATTTTCGATCGCACCCGATCCCGAACTGTAAAGTCAAAAACAATGAGAACAGTCGATTAAGAGGAAGCAAGATACACGAGAGAGAACACGGAACCGGGACTCAAGAGACTTGGATTCTAGTTCTGACACTTTCACTGGCCACCTATGTAACTTGGGCAAGTCACTTCACCTTCCCTCTCTCCCTGTCCCTATCCATCGGTCTTGTCTCTGTAGATAGTAAGTGGTTAGGGCAGGGACTGTTCCTTTGCAATTGTACAATAGCAAGTACTAATCTTGGCTGGGCTGTGAGGCACTACTTCAAAATAAACTATAGGTGATTAAGGCTTACACAAATAATTTTAATGTAAAATAAAACATCAATTAAAAAATAAACATAACTGCAACTGATCATGGCAAGTTAACCAAGAGACTATGATAGTTAACCCGGTGTGCATTTAAGCATATTTGTGCTGTGCTGATATTAGCAATAAGAATGACTCATTGAACACCTGAATGTGATATTTTAAGCTCCCAATCTGATACAATTAGTAAAAAGGAAAAGTCTGTGGCTGAGGCAAAAGAGGCAACTATTATTTTCATATGCAGAGACAATTAGTGCAAGGCAGAAGCAAGAATAATGATTTTTTTTATGGATCATATGAATGAAGAATAAGAGAAAAAATAATTACTGACGTGTATAGGGTTCAGGCTAATCAAGACTGAAATGGAAGATTACATAGTAACTGTGTTTAATAGAATTTCAAGACACCATGCTGGGTTCCACTTTTCAGATGAATCTCTCAATCCTAAAGATGTATTTTCTTCTTGGTCACAGTTTTACTGATTTTTCTAATACATCTGTTTAGATTTCCTGTTCCTTCTCCTTGTACCACATTATTTATTCAGCTCCAGCACCCACCCACCAACCCTCCCACTGTGTTGCCAGTTTATTTTAGTCAATAATGCATGAGACCTCAATGTGGTTCTATTGTCACATGTACGTGAGTTGGGTGTATTGATAAATGGAAGGTCAAAAGCTGAGTGCCTCCAGCACCCAAGTAATGAATATATTACAGTGCAATGGCACATTCTTCTCTACAACTGTGCTTTTAAAATGGTTGGCTTAAAGACACTGGTCCAAACCAAAATTTCACATATGAAAACCTTTCAATGCTGGGAAAATGTGGGGCTCTAGCTATTTTAATGTTCTGTTTAAGCATGGTTTTGTAATCCTCATTAGCTATTCACACTGCTTCCTCAATTCAAGCCATTTGTAATAAAATCCAACCACACCCAGGTCCAGATTTCAGATCATGTGCAAAGATGGTGCATCATAGTCATGCAGTGGGAAATCCAGGCAGGGGCATACTTCTAAAATGTGGCACATGCCATACATCGCAAGTAGCCAATTCTGTACCCAGCCTAGGAATTCTTGGGGTAGAAATGGCTGCTCTCTCCCTACCTAGGTTATTTACTATTTCAAATCAAATGGGTAAACTAATGTGAGTGTTTCCAGAAGTCTAGCTGTGCAAAATGCAGGCAACCCGCAAAAACATTCACGTAAGCCATGCATCCGCTCCAAGCCACAAAATCCCCAAGGGAGAGGACAGAGGGAGTGGGCAGAAGCAGGAGTGATTTGTTACCCACCACTTGGTAAGAGTATGTCAGCTGCAAAGTCAGCATAGACGGAGAAGGACAGCCCAGCTATTCCCACCACACCAACCATACCCTTTATCCTGGCTGGCCCTTGACAGGAGTCAGTAGTGATGCACTGATGTTTATTTAAATCGCATTATAAAAAAATTTGGCTTTAAGTTACTTTGGGTATTAGTTTGACCAAGGACAGTTGAGTGTAGCAGCAGAGGGGATAGGTGTGATGTATGCTGGCATCTCATCTGTGTGGCTAAAGCCATGAGCAATGGCAGGGCTCCCCCACCCCGCTGGGTATTTCTCTTGACATGCTGTTAGGGTGTTGTGTTTTTACATGAGCCTGCTGTGCTGGTGAGAGCACTGAGGGCAGGTGCTGTATCAGGATAGTTTATGATGTGGATTAGGATATTATGTGGCTACCAGGAAGACTGCACAGGCAGGGATGGGGAGGGAGACTGTTTGCTATGAAGAGGTGATTGAAATGGTTGTATATGTGGGGGAACCACCTGCATAAGGGGTTTCAGTATCACAGACTTCTGCCTTTTCGCCACAGGCCTCACTAGTCAGTATTTCTGTAGATCTGTACTCCTCCTTATCCTTCATAAGAACATGTCTGTTTTGAAAAGAGATTCTGAGATGTGGGGGGTCACACTGGAAGTAACAGGGCTGTATGCTGTGGGGTTGTCTCTGTGCACATTCAACAGTTCCCTTGGGCCTATGTGGCTCAGATCATTTCACATAATTCACCAAAGTGGTGGTGACACATTTTGGGACTTCATCAGCCTGTCCTGTTGCTATGCCTTGATTGAGATGTCTGGCCCAGTGAACCAAAAAGCACAAATGTGTGTTTCTGAAACTATGCGAATACCTCCTGTTGTCTAAGTCATTACACAGGGCTGTGTAACTTTGTACTTTCCTTTGCTGGATCAGCTGGCATGGGAGACAACTGGCATCATCCTAAATTTGGTCAGTTGTCTACGAGGACCTATTCACAAGGACCATTTTACTCTGTCATCCTGGAAGTTCTGTAGTTCACTTCAATGTGTCCCCCTCACTCGGCCATATGCAACAGTCTGCTACAGAATAAGTACTAACTCCAGGCCTTTCGGGGGTTATGCTGTCTAGGCTGCAGTAGTTCCTACCCCTCTCTTGGTATTGGCAGGGGATTGTTAAGATGTCCAAACCCCATCTCTAGCACCTAACAGCTCCTTTTTGAATTTGCACCACCTGCAGAAGCAGCATGCACAGGAAGTGGGAGTGTATAGTGTTTTGGCAGGAGATACGCATACTAACAGAAGATATTTACTTATCTGCATAAACATTTTGTTCACTGAAAACGGTACCCATTTGTTGAACTCTTAGCAATAGGAAAGCTTTTGTCCTGTATATTCAGTATTGGATTTAAGCCAAAATGGGCATTTTGCCTTTCAACGTCAAGCTACACAACAGAGATGGATCTCTCCATCTATATATAACCTAGAGCAGGATCCTCAAACAACAGTAGGTAATTCTGATGTTCCATCTATTCACTTCATAACAAGTATTTAATGTGGTGGTATATAAACCAAGAAAGTGTGGGAACTGCTGGCCTAGAAGAATAAACATAAGGCTGAGCTTCAGAACACCCTGAATGCTAATCCTGACCATGCCACTAACTCACATGTAAAGTCTAGGGTAAATACATTATCTATACATTACTTCTGTTTCACATCCCGCAAGGGAGTAGAAGTGACTATACTGTCATATCCTGCAGCAATGGAGAAAGTATATGCCACTAAAAGTGATCCACATTTGAATGTGTCCATGTCGGGATGGGAGGAGAAACTTTTTTTTAAAAGGGGATTTTTGGCTATAGGGCTGGTGTAGCTTTCCTAAACAAAAGGGACTAAAGTAAAGGAGATAAAATATTAATACAAAGTGTATTGCACTGGTAAAACAAAGTTCCATCTCCATAGACAGTCCATTGTATTTTTCATCCTAAGCAAATTGAACCAAATTTCCACATCCCCTTCTTGCTAATTTGCTGACATCAAATCTTATCAATAGTTAAATAAGGAAAAAATATTCATTTTCAGCAGATGTGCTTTTGGCTATATGCATGCCACAGCTAGCAAAGTCACATTGCTAATTGTAGATACTGTCAAAGCAGAAGGGCATTGCTTGATGTATTTTTCATCCTAAGCAAATTGAACCAAATTTCCACATCCCCTTCTTGCTAATTTGCTGACATCAAATCTTATCAATAGTTAAATAAGGAAAAAATATTCATTTTCAGCAGATGTGCTTTTGGCTATATGCATGCCACAGCTAGCAAAGTCACATTGCTAATTGTAGATACTGTCAAAGCAGAAGGGCATTGCTTGATGCATTTTATATAACACTTAAGTAACAATTTCACAGCCATTACCAGCCTGCGGTAATGACACGGCTGAAAGCTAAGTGCTAACTCAATGGAAACCTTTAATTAAGCAAATTGGGGATTACATGTTATAGAGGTGATGGGGTAGTTTCTCCATTAAAATGCTGATTAAAAGTGGTAGGTAATTTAGTACAAAAATGAAGAAACTTTCCTAAATACTCACTATCCTGGCTCCACTGACATCAATGGGGGTTTTGCCATTGACTTCAGTTGGGCAAAGATTTCCTCTCTGTATTCTTAGATTCATCTGGACAAGTGTTGCCCTCAAAACTATGGCCGTCTTGTCCCCATGACAAGGTAATTTTCAGGTTTATTTAAGGAAAATTTCTCTTACAACATAACACAAGCAGCAAAGATGGTTTATCAGCCTAGAAAAGTATTGCATTTTTTGTCTCCATCTCTCTAATTTGGAGGAGCTGATGTTTGTTCTTTAGGTCAGTGGAAAGTCATTCACTTTTTTTGGCAGGACAGTTTTGAATTTTGCTGATGAAGTTGGTGCTGGAAAGCTTTAATTATTTTTGTTAGCTAATACATGAGCAAAACAAATGTAGAACAATTTAGTAGCTCTATAATAAATGTATTAATTTAGAAGAAAAACAAATTAATATAAAGAGAAGGTTATAATATAATGGAATAGTATCTGTTCCACACTGTAACTTGTCATTGTTTCTTTGATAGATAGCACCACAGAGAAAAAGTGTCAGTGAGGGGAGGAGGATGAAAGGAAAGGTCACGGATACTCTAGACTCTGCTCACAGTGGGAGCTATGATTACAGCAAAAACTCAGCTTAATGAACATTTCAGGAACGGATGTTGTCCATAACTCTGAACAAAATATTATGGTTGCTTTTTCAAAATAAAAACAACCGAATGTTGATCTAATACAACTTTGAAAAAATATGGTGCAGCAGAAAAGAATGCTATTTTCCCTTTTTTATAAAATAGTTTATATTTAATTCGATATTATGCTGTATGAT